ATATGAAACTGCGACATTGCGCAATTTATTGGACAGACTTGTTTAAGATCGCACAGCGTAATTTGGGTGGCATTTTATTTCGTATTTTAAAATCATCTTTATTTTTGACTATCTGTAAATGTAGTTTCCTGCTCTTAATTGTGAATGCATACTTGATGGTTTTAAATGCTCCTGAAATTAAATGCTGCTTGACGAGCCTATACAGTATTGTGTTCATAATATGTGACGTCACTGAAGGCCTAAGGTTGAAATGCACGGCCCGCCACTGATACCAAAGCATTTTTATGTCAAAATAACGGCAGAAAAAAACCCACGAAATATGAATGATATATTTGTTTCCTTGTAGAACTTGCTTGTACACTACCGAAGTATGCAATGAATACTCTGCTGTTTTCAACTAGGAACCACGTGATTTACTGGGAAGTTACCGGAAATGAAAGCATTCGAGTAGACTAGCACCATTCTGGGCAAAAGCAAACGGAACTACCTGTTAGGGGGGGGAACGGAAATTTTCAGAATCCGTATGATTTGTGCGATATGGCCATATACGTAAGATCCACCACAAAATCCGTATGAACTATGGCTAAACCGTATGAGTTGACAGGTATGAAATAAATAATGTGACTTTTGTTAACATGACGCCCTTGGAGCAGAGCCAGGGCATTACGACCAAGTCAGGCTAACGAAATGAGCATTGAGCATTGTAGTCGTTATAAACAGGGGTGCACATAAGCGGTGTGCGAGTGCACATGAGGGCTGAAAATTCTAAATTGCGCCCCAGTTCAAGGCTGTACAACACTTTGCGTACAAATAGGTCAGGCAAGCCTCAATTTGAAGTCAAGTCATCTGCCTCAACAATTGCTTCTGAGGGGCACCTTTAAAATAAAATATTGGGAAGACTTTGATATCCATCCATCCATCCATCCATCCATTTTTGACACTACTTATCCTGAACAGGGTTGCGGAGCCTAACCAGCTGACTTTGGACGGAAGGCAGACTACACCCTGAACGCATTAATATCCATGTTCAGTGTGACTTTTTGCTTTTATTTTATTTTTATTTGACCCCAGCGGCTGGTTGCATGGTAGCCCATGAATAATCGTTGTGGAGGCTAACTAACGGCTACATACCAGGCAAGAAGGTGGCGGAACGCGCTGCAGGAGGGCCGCTGGCGAGACAGTTCTGTTAGATTTGAATTTAATTTCTTTTTATAAAACTTGAAATTATACTGTTTTAATAAGCTGCAATTGTGAAACCCTGTTTTACTGTATGTTGTTGTAATTAGGTCTTTTTTTTTTTTAATGATACCATCTTTATTCAGTTATATGAATTAAAGGTGCTCATTTGAGAACCACGCGTCCAAAAATTCTGCACCATTGGTTGTAAACCTTTCAAACACAAATATTCTAACTCAAACATGTAGACAGTTACATGTCTACACCATTACTCGCAGGCATATATTCCTTGTTCTGTTGTATTGTGGTTTTATGTTAAATGTTCTGTAAAGCAGGGGTCCCCAACCGCCGACCGGTACCGGTCCGCCGGGCATTTGGTACCGGGC